TGGGGCTGGGTTTCAAGCATTCTTTAGTGGTGATTAGTCATTTCTATTGTTCAGCTCCTCCAAAACATGAATTTCCTTTCCATCGTTCTTTTTTCCTGTTCAAAGAGAAGCCAAAGCCTACTGGCCAGAACTATTTCCTCTTTTTTTTATTTTAGAAAGTCTGTGGAATCCTTTCAGAGTCTCATACCATCTTAATGAATACCACTGATTGGAAAACGCTGTTGTGTATACCAGTGTGCTGGAGCGGTGGGGCTCAGACCTTGAGTCTGGTTTGGTGGAGAAGCTTCTGAAGGGTTCCATTCCCCTTCCCAGAGGGCAGTACTAGTCTCAGTAAGGATCTTTTCTGTGTCACCGTGAAATCTGTTCTCTCTCCTCATTCAAATGCAGGATTGACAAAGATGCAAGGGTCTGTAAAATGTGACTTTGACTGTTTTACTTTCAGATCAGCTATGTATTTTACGGACTTGTTGCTCTTTCGGCATCCTGAGAACCTGTCTGTCACACTTTAAAAAGGCAGAAATAGCTGAGTAACATGCTGCAGTTCAATGTAAACTATGAGCATTCACCCCAGTTGTTCTCTGCCCCCTTTCTGCCCAACCCAGCTGTAATTTAAGATTATTGTGGGTGTGATGCTTGTATATTAGTTTTCAGTGTAATACTTCAATGACCGTTGCGGTGTGTTACTTGCTGGTTTGATCCATTAACTTTATCAACAGTGAAGGAGAACAGTATATGGTTTTCCAAACAATAGCTGATTTTCCTTAAATGTCCAGAAAGGAAGAGAAGAGTTGGTGCACAGAAGAGAAGATTTTATCGGAGGCAGAAGGAAATGACAAGTTGAAGGAAGAGAAGGCAAAAATTTAAGCACTGGAGAAGGAGTTTGTGAAAAGGTCTTTCCTTATACTTTTGACTTACACCTGTTTTGAGATGATCCTTTGCATGTGGGAACAATAAATGCAACTATAGTAAGCTGGTGTGTACCCTAAAAATAAGGCTCCAAGGTAGTTTCTCATAGTTACATGCTTCTCTGGAAACACAAGCAGCTCCTAAGGTCATGAAGACAGAAATGCTTCAGTCGTGACCATGACACCTTGCATGCTGCTGTGGTGCTGGGCAGGGGGAGCTGGTATGTAGGATTTAACATGGAAGAAGTGATGGAATGCTGCTTACCAGAGACACATTTCTCAGACTGTTTCCCAGACTGGACCTGTTGTTTAAGGACCTCTTGTTCAACTTGTTAATGCCTTAATCCTCTTCCCTACTTTAGATGCATGCTATGACAGGACTTGGGAGTTCAGTAACCCAGAGTAGCACTTGAATTGTTAGCAAGCTGAAATGTTGGCTTTGCAGAAAGCAAGTGATTATATGAATGATGAAAGAACATTAAAAAGATTTGGAAGTAACATGATGCCTTCACTCACATAGCTTCTCTAAGGTATGAAAGCATACTCAGAATAATTTAAAAAGTATTAAATTAAAAAAAAAAAGTATTAAAGTATATGTCCAAGACAACTTCAGTCTGAGTAAATGCAGGACTATGTTATCTGAAAAGGGAATTTGTCTGAATTGGGTGAGTTGCATGTAGATAGGGATTATTTGAAAGAGTAACTTTCAAGCTATATTTATTGGCCTTCTGGGAGCATTTGAACCACTTTAGGTGTGTGTGCAAAAGGTGGTTGACTGGCTATGTATCAACAGTCCAGTGTCTATTCAAGACTGCTAAAAAGTGTCCCTTCCCTTTTTTGTCCCTAACTGATCATGCCAGTACAGTGGGATGTAGAAATTGCAGCTAAGATCAGTCTGGATGAAAACTAAGTTTACTTGGGCTGCTCTTCAGCTCAATTGTTTCTAAAAACTTCAGTATGTTAAGCACCTACTTGATTTTTGTATTTTTAAGTGCACTGGAAGTCAGCTAGTAGATAGGATGCACATACTAAGGTTTCAGATGCTCTTAGGGTCTTACCTTTGTGTTTTGCCAACCCCGCTTGCAGAGAACTAATGCATTCACAAATGGTTGTGTCTCAGTGTGTTCCTTCATATCATCCAGATTTTTGAGAGATACATGTGAAAGAAACTTTCCCTCCTGAAAAGAAAGACACAGAGGAAGTAAAACAGAGCATGCAGGAAGTGCTTGTGCTACAGTCTGGAATTGCTCATGAACTGTCCCAGGTCTCCAAATTACTGGTGTATAAAATTTTGGTTTTTGGAATAGTCCAGGAGACATGTTGATTTTGGGAATAATAGAGGCTAGGTTAATATGCTTTACAGAGCCTAGACTTTGTTGATAATATATCAGTTGATATATTGCAGACCTCTAAAGGAACAAGCCTGATGTTCTGGGCCACCATTTATCTGCATCAAGCACAGTACTGGATAACTTTGCATCAAGTAACTAAAGCTTTGAATCAGTAAGACATGTTTCATCCCTTTAGCTCATGTGAGTGCTTTCATGTGGTTGTACCTTTCATTCTAAGGAACTTTGTTTGTTTATACTGATGTGACTTCTGAAAGTTTCTTTAAGTGGTAAGCAAGTATTCATTTAACAGAACCTTTAACTTCTGTTCAGAAAGGACGAAATCGACTAGGAAAACGAGTCGTAAGTTTGCATGAAAGGTGATGCCAGACTTTGCGGTGATTTAGTAAACTAGAATAAGCTCTTGTTACATGTTTGCTCCATAACTGATGGAAATTTTGTTTCTAAATGAAACTGTGTGAAAAGCAGTCTGGTCAAAGCTGTCCAGACTAAAACTGGATTTGCATTCTTCCTGTCTGAATGTAACTTTTTTTGTATTTGCTGTAAGTAATTAAAACATACCTTGTTTCAAGATCCAGCATATTAGATATATGGTCTGCAAGTGTTACTGAGGGATTTCTCTTCTCTCCCATCCTCATTTTAATGAGTACTGAGCTGATTTTTGAGGCCCACAGCACTGAAGATTTTAGATGCACGCAATATTGAGTCATGCGCTTCCTTTTCTGTTCCCATCTGAAAAGCCACAAGAGGTGGCAGGTGAGATATCAAATGCTAATCTGTCCTGGAAATCAGATAATATTGAGAGCAGTGCCACAGTGTGTGGTGCATCTGCATTGAAGGCATTCTGTCACAAGGGATGTCTCTCCTTTCCATGCAAGGTGGGTCCCACCAGCTCTTGTGCAACAGGGATCCTGATGATCTCTGTCAATGCCTGGAAGACATCTAGTGCTGAAATACCTTGGGGCAGAAACTCAAAAAATGGTCTGAATTGCTGTGATGGAAAAGCAAAAGTGTGGTGTTATCACTGTCTGCACTGCACTGATCTCGGGAGGCTAGCTGGATGGAGACAGGGACAAGGGCATACTGCCTTGTGGGCTCAGTGGCCACCAGAGCAGGTGAAGCTCCTGGCCTGTACACAGTGGTAGGGGAAGGAGAGCCTGTGGGTAAGAAACAAGGAATGATTCAAACTGTTTTCTTAAGATCATTAAACAGACCAGTCTGCATGAAGCTGTGGTCCCTGTGGTTACAGAATATGAAACACCAAGTCTTGGAGCATAGCTGTAGCCTCTTTTGTTCTTGTCATTACGTGGATTACTGCTGTGATTTGTAAAATACAAATTGTCCCGGCTGTATTCCGGCTTCTCAAAAACAGGATGTATTATTGTTCTCCAAATTCTCATGATTTTTTTTTTTTTTTTTCTTTTTTCCTCCCTCTGCATGCACAGCCTCCTCACAATGAAAGTGTCCCAGAACTGCAAAAGCAGCATCTTCTCTTGAAAGGATTTTAATAGTTTCTCTTCAGGAACTTCTGCACTTCCTTTGACTTTTATTGATACAGTTGCTGTATGGGAATATAGGTTAACTTCAACTAAAAAAAAAAAGACAGATTACTTCCTGGGGTTAACGACTACTCTTCCTTTGCTATTTTTATGGAGTAGAGGAGCTGTGAGATTCCCATGGAGGTTCCCGTCTTCATATCTAAAATTGACTTAGTTGTTTATTCATTGCTTTTTGTCAGCAGGGTACTTTGCCAACTTATAACTGAAACCAGGCAGTTGGTTGTACAGGGAGAAACATAATTCTGAGAATCTGCTGTGATACTTCCTGTAGATCATGTACAGTACTTAAGTGGTAAACAGCTATTTCCAGGTGTTGGTGTTTGTTTTTTTTTTTTTTCCTCAAAACAGGAAAAACTGCAGGTTAGTGGGTATTCTGCATGTTTCTGTGAGTGGACAGTACTTATGTCAACCTCAGTATGTATATACTGTTACTTACTGTCAACTTTTAGACTTCTCGTGTCGGACTGCTGAATGACAAAGGGTTTGTATTTGGCTGCAGCCTGCCATACTGGGGGGCATCTGATAACCCCAACAATGAAAAAAACTCCAACCATCATAGCTGGAAGATGTTTTAACTCTTTTGGAGTGTAACTTGGCAGGATCTGTATTGGAAACTTGCTTGTTGATAGTATGTAAAATGGGGGTGGACTACCAGAAAGCACAATGTGAAAGCTGCTGTGGAATATAAGGATGTCAAGACTGAAAACAGATTTGTTCCTTTTGTCACTTAGTGGACGATGTGTGTGAGTATTTTGTAGCACTTATTTTGGTAGGCAGTCAAGGTTGGAAAATGATACGGTCTTCAATAGCAAATAATACCTGATGTCTAGTTTTAATTCAGTCTTGCATAAACAGCATGTGTCTTGCTTAAACCTCTGCATCGGTGAGATGTTGCTGTATGTGCACTTGACCTTAGGAAGCTGAGACTTTGTAGGACTGGCAGTCTCTGTGGAACTCTGCATCAACTGGATTTATTGCTTCCTGGAGAAAAAAAAAATAAATTGTTGTATGCAGCCTCCTTCTAAACAGAAAATGGGATATTGTACAGTGGGAACATCAGTTACACACATTTGATGGGACTGACTCAAAAAGAGCAGAATAATTTGAGCAGAGACTCATTCCAGTCCAACTGCCCCCTGCCCCTTGACAGCAAAGAGCATGATGTGCTTGAGCAATTCTCCTGGAGTATGGATGGTAATCCAGAAGTGCAAGAAAACTCACTTTTGGTCGTAGTGCGGAATGAGAGGCCTGGTATCTTGCAGTATTTTTGTAATAAAAAATTACCTCTGTGGAGTGAATTCTGTTATGCACTTCTTAGTCAGGTTTAAGAATGCTCTTTCTAACTCAATTTTGACTTCTATAACAGCTGCAGATTCTGTCCAACATTCTCACTTCCATCATAAACATAACTTCAAGTATCTGCAAAAGTTATTTCAGTGGGAATAGCTCTCATTTGTACTACAGCTATGCCTTTCCCTGAGACATTGTAGTTTCTCATACAGATGGAAGTAAACAATGCCAGTAGCTGTAGCAAAATGGGCAATAAAACAGCTGCAAAATACGGTATTTGGCAAATGCTACAATTCTACAATTCAGATTAATCTATTTTTTTTTAAAAGTCTGTTACCTTCTGTTTAGCACTGTGTTGAAGTAAGTCACACCCAAGTCCAAAGCAGCTGAATTTATATACTGCAGCCAAAATCCAGTAGTGAGTGAATTTGTTTGTTTATTTTAGATGAGAACTGGGATGATGATCAGCTTCTTGGATTTGAACCGTGCAATGAAAACCTTATAACAGGTTGTAACATAATCAACGGGAAATGCAAATGTGACACCATTCGGACCTGTAATAATCCATTTGAATTTCCAAGCCGGGATACTTGCCTGTCTGCCTTAAAAAGGATTGAAGGTAAGCACTTGTCTTCAGTAATTCAGAGTTAATAATTTTTCTGTTCATTTGATGACAAGCTAGGGTGTAGTTTATTATGTTTTGGGATGACTTGGATAGTTTCAGATACCTGTGGTCTTGTACTTTTCAAAAGACAGTTTTATGTTTTAAAGGAATATAGGACTTCAGGAAGCTTGGCCTTCCAAATATGGAGGTTTAAGAATGGAAGAAGCTAATCCTTTGTGATCTGTGTGTTATGAGGTTTGCAGTTTTTAAGACTAAGACTATTCTGTTTGTAGTTCATGACAGCTACATTTGTGTATCTTTAGCTGTAAAGCAATGTTGAAAACTCTCTTTAGATGTGTTGATGTGACTGAACCATAAACAAACACTGTTGAATTTAATAGCAAAGATGTAGAAAAAGGAGTAGTTGTTGATGATTGTGTCTTTTCTTACATGAATGCTTGGATCACCCTTTTCTTTAGGTTTGCATAATGTAGCATTACTTTAATGCTCCTATTTTTCAGTTTCTGTGTTCCTTTGATTACAGTTGCATTAGGCCACATGTTTATGATTCTGCACATATATATGATGGTTTGGTTGTTTGGGTGGGGTTTTTTTTGTTTTTGTTGTTTATTTGTTTGGTTTTGTTGTTACTGATGTCTGCACTGAAAATCAGTTGGCTCAGATATATCCAGTTGGAATTAAAGTCCCATGGTTTATTTCTATGGTTGTTTTGAATAGCTGTCAAAGATCGGATCTTGGACCCTTTCTATGATGCTGTAATTACTGTTTCTTTTCTGAGTGCCCAGGAACATGCAAAAGTTGATTAGTGGTGTGAACCTGCTTAATAAGCACACTTAGCACACTTTAAACCAATGTTTAAAGCTATGTTGCAAAAAGTATTAACATGCAGTTAATGTAAAAGTAAAGTATCATATGTATTTATAAGGCTACTAACCCTATTTAAAGTTACTGTGTTTGAGTTAAGGAAGAGTGATCAGATGTCATCTATCATATTCTTTTTGTGGTATGGAAATTGTTTTCGAGCTACAGGCTTCAAACAAGGAGATCTTGTGAGAAATGTAGCTGACGGAAGCATGTTCATTGTTGTTGGTCATGGTCTTAGTCACTGAAGTCATACAAGTGCTTTGTGTGTTTTTTAGTTCTAGGAAGAGGTGAGGCATAACTTCTGTTGGCTTCTTGTTGCTGTAGTAGTGGGCAGTAGCATATATGGGTTCTTAAGCAAATTTACCACTTCTTTATTTAACTTGTGAATGTGTGACTAAGTCTGTAGTAGTTCAGCAGAAGTCCTTTGGCATGACAGTTCATCCTGTGTTTAGCTTTCTAAGAAAATCTGCTGTGGGATGCCTTTTTGGTTTTTGCAGAGTAAGAAGAAATGGACTTAGGTTTGTGGAGTGGCATAGCTAAAGCAGATTGATTCTTTGAGTAGCTTGCCTTCAGCAACCTCTTGTTTCAGATAAATTCCCATTTAAAAAAAAAAAGTCATTTTAAGTTTAGCCATGGGCTAACAGTATTTTTCATGTAAACTGTCTGGTATGACAGCAGAGATGCAGTTATTTTTCAGACGTGTAATTTCTTTTTTGTTTATTTGTTTCCTTGGTTGTATTTCTAGTTTTGGGTAGTGGGGAAGGTGTTCCTCCAAAACTTCAGACTGCAGGGCACCAGTAGAGGAGCTTAGGGCCTGTTGATTTTTAACCCTTCACAGAAAGGAAGGATAAACAATTAAACAGCAACAAAACCCTTAAATACCAGAGATCTGGCAATTATAACTTCAGTATTATAACAGTCCAACTTATAAGAATGTGAATTTGCATTTGCATCCTCAGACTATCAAACCTTACCCCTGAGGAATGTTTGAAGTTAAAGCCATCTGTATTTCCTAATAGAAGGTCAGAAGTCCGCATAACTTTGATTTGTCTGCACTTTGGAGCTGTATTTAATCAAATCTGCCTACTGTTGTTTTGCACTGTAAATGTTTATTCCCTCATTCTCCAACTAAGATTGGGAATTGAATGCTAACTGCTCATTGAATTAGTTTCTTTTGATGCATAGCTTTTTGTTTTGGTAATTAAAACTAAATTAGTGGTTCACCCTGCGCCTAAGCTAATGGAACAGAAGAATAACTTTTTCCCCTTGTGCTTGCCACATCCCTGTTCAATAAGCAAACCAAGTCTTTTAGGGCAGAATGAGATAGACACTTTGCTCTCTCTCAGCCAGTATTTGCTGTTTGAGTATTTCAGGCTTTCAGAGTTTATAGTCTAAAAGTTGAATACTTTCATCCATTTGGTACATCCCCTTGAAACATGGCTTAGGTAGTATGCAAACCAGAAGGCTCTTTAAGCATTTTAAAATAGAGGAATCTTTCAGTTTTTTCAAGGCAAGCTAAGTCTCAAACTTTTGTGTCATGTAAAAAAGGATGATTCATAAAATCTGTTCAATATTTCTAATCAAGATTTCTCTGAAATCCAAAGGACAGATGTAACACTTTTTTTGCTTGTCTATTAAAGATAATAGCAGGAGGATGTGAAACTAGCAATTTAAATCTTGAAATACTCCCAACAGAATCTGCTGCTATGGCAAGTGGGACCAAGAGAGGGTAATCTAGCTTCCCTCTCCTCACTATACTTGATATGGATAGTTAAATACACAGTGTGGTTTAAAAAAAAGAGAGTAGATTAAGATTAGATGTAAGGAAGAAATTCTCCACTATGAAGGTGGTGAGACACTGGAACAGGCTGGACAGAGAAGTTGTGGATGCTCTCTTGCTGGAAGTATTCAAGGCCATGCTGGATAGGACTCTGAGCAACCTGGTCTAGTGGGAGGTGTCCTGACCTACGGCAGGGAGGTTGAAACTAGATGAGCTTTAAGTTCCTTTCCAACCCAAACCATTCTATGATTTGCAAGAAAATTCTGAGAGGCTAATGTGAGCTCTCAATAATACAGGTACCGAAGGCAGTTCTTGTGTCCAACCCTTGCCCTTATTTTCCTGGGAAATAATAGGATTAGATACATTGGAAAGGATTTTTATTTATCATGAAATTTGGTAGCCAGCATCTGTGTAAACTTTGTGTAGACATACTGCAAATGTTCAAAGACTTGTTACTTAATGGAGTATTATATAGAATACTTATTCTTTAGAGGTCTCCCAGCACCATTATGAGGCTTAAAGTACCTGTTTCTGTACATGGATGACTTTTCATATGGAAGGTTGGTGTAAAGGTCACAAACCATCCTACTATGTGGAAATGCACACATCTGGGGCTAGAAAGAAACCATCTGGAAAAGTTACTGCATACCCAAATAAGAATAGATTTCTGAGGGTTTTTTTTTGTTTAAAATGCTTTTGCTTTTTGTTTTTTTCTTGATGAGTGCCTGCTCTGATATGGTTCAGGAAATCCTGTGTTCTTGAGCTTGGAAAGCTTGTTTCTATTCAGGAGATTGCTGCTGATGACAGCGTGGTTGAACTTCGTCTGCTGGAGTGGACGGTGGGAAATATGGCTAGAGGTTGAGAAGTGGTGAGATGCCACCAGTCTGCTGAGCCACGGTAACAGGCAGAAGTCTAACAAGCCGCATCTACACATTCTTGCAGTCATGATCTGCCAAAAATTAGCTGCAGACAGTACAGAAGAGTCAGTTCTTCAAACATTGTGAGATGTTGAGGATTGGAGGTGAGGGAAATGAGAGGAAGTCCATTTTGTTTTGTTTTGGTTTGGTTTTTTTATCAAGTTACATTTGTAGGCCATAGGTAGGTAGTAGTGTTGAAAACTTGTGTAGTGCCAGTCCAGTCATTGTGAAATCTTGCACAGGACATATGAAGAGTCACTAGGAAGTCAGTATCTGACGTGACCCAGCTTCAGTAGCTTCAAGGACATTTGAATACATTGCAGTTCTGGCATCTTCTTCTTTCTCTCCCTCTATGCTAAACTCTGAACTCTGACTGTAGTTCAGATATCCCAGCAGAGCTTTAAAGAATAGGACCTCAAGGATGTTCTTGAGCCAGCTCCTCCTCCTCCTCTACCAGAGCAGGCCAGGATCTGTGCCCTTGTGGGGTACTTGTGGGAAGGTGGTGTGCCTTGCTGCCTTCCCCCTTCAGAGGCAGCGACAGGGCTTTGGAATGAGAACCTGCTTTTTAAGAAGTGTTCCCTGCTAGAACAGCTATCTCCTCTTCCCTCTGGGAAGTGAAGGGAAAGTTGCAGGTCAGAGGCATCCAGTATTTCACTAGGTGAGCTGTGCTTCAGGTTTTGTTCTTTTCAACTGGATTTACTAAAAAAATTCAGCCTGCAGATTCTCTCAAAGATAAGAAACTTCACAGTACTAGCTTGCTGCTTTGAAGTCATTTGCAGAAGTGTTTGTTTTGATAATACCAGGGACTGGTGTGACACATAGACAAAGATGTTCTCCAGTATTATGGAGAGCATAAGTGCCAGCAGCTGTAGCAAAGGTGATGGGTTTGTCTCAAGTTCTGTCGATGTTCACTTGAGCTCTAAGAAGAGAAACCAATCAACTTTCTTTCTCAGCTCATACTCCAAAAAAGCACAAACATTTTCCATGTCAAAGTTAAGCCCAGTCTTTATTCAGAATATATATATGAAAGATAAAATGTGTACCTTTTTCAATAAAAGATAGGCTTAATGCTTTAGGAACCTGCATTTCTGTCTGCATGTAAACCCCACTGCTGATAGAAAGTTATTGAAACTGTTATTTTAAGAGTAGCTTCTCAGTTACCTGGCTTGCACCTTTCTGAGCTATTCACTGCTGTCCTTCATAGGTGAAAGAAAAAGGCCCTTTAAGTCACTGGTGTCTATTAAACTGGCTTATTGCAACATTCTGCTTGCATTCCATTATTTTTTACATGTAACTGAGTAACTTTATGCAGGCAAATGTTGCAATACCTGTTAGACCAGTCCTGGAATAACAAATATGAGAAGGTAATTTTATTCCGAATGCTTGTTTGGTTGTTGTGAAGTCTGATTTTGTGTTAAACTTCACTTGTGTGG